AATAGCTTTTTTCATATCAGGAATTAAACTTTTGAAGATAGCTACTAAATCTGATAATTGGGTGACTTTCCCACCACTCTCCTCTAAAGACCTGGTCATGGCTACCGCACGAGACTTATATTGCTCTTGCAAGTCGAGAAGCTCTTCAATCTTTTTTTTCAATACCTGCTTTGATATACACAACTCCTCATTTTCTTTTCTTAATAAATTTTTACAGTCGCTGGTAATAGGCTTTATTCTCTAATGCTCTTTTTTCTTAATATATTTTTCAACTGCCTGATTTAACATATCTTTCACTTTAGGGTGAATACTACTTGTCTGTTCTAGCAATAATGGGTATTTTCGAGATGTAAGGCGTCACTATATATCTATTTTGATAGATCATGAAAGTTGATTAAGTTGCTTTGAGTAATATACATGAAAAGATGGTGTCAGTATGTTATTAGTCATTTATATAGATAATAAAAAATTCTAAGAATCTAAGAATTTTGAGCATTCGGTGAATTTAGAGTATTCTACCACACATAGACGAAATCTACCAGGATATAGTCATACACATCAATGTTGCGAGAGATCTGCTAGAAAGCTCTGATCAAATATGCACATGATACCCAATCATTGGTCAATAAGAAAAAATTATTTTAGTAGGGGTGTCCCAGCTGAAATTTCGCTAAATTAATACATGATCATATCTTTCGTAATACAGATAACAAGTTTTTTATTAATTCGTTTTGCGATAGCATGTCTTCTAATTTCGCAACTCTGACCTTAAGCTTGCTAATATATTGTTTCAATAAATCAGTTTCACTAAGATCATCTATTTCGGATTACATGCTTGAGTGATATAGTATTATTTATGCTTTATATAGGTTAATATTCAAAAATACACGTGATTTATTTTTTTTCACAGCCTGTAAGCGAAATTTGCCAAGAAAAAAATATTATATAGTACACTTGTTTTATTAATAATATAACTTATAAAAATATATGTATGAAATTTCTATTCTATTAATTTTTGGGAGTCGAAACCGTTACTGCTATCTCACCAGAACTATGCTCACTATTTCTGGAATAGGAATCATATAATATCTTATGAACTGTACATGCGACAGCCATTCTTAACGTCATCAAAGCATGGATAAGTAAATACATGGCACTTGGTGAAGTCATATGTAGCAGAATCAGCGCTTCTTCTATTAGACAGTACTTGTAAATACTCAATTCTCTACGCATAGCATAAAGTTCCATAACATTGCCTGAAATATATAAAAGCAATAGCTGAAGGCATTTTTACATGATTAAGTATTATTGATTTGAAATACAAGAGTGTGATATAAAGAAAAATATATATATATATAATGCATTACCTGCGATGTTTATAGCAAATATAGACAATATATGCCTCTTGGATGAAAGATTGAATACCTTCTTAAGCTTTGATATTTTTCTAGTAGTATCGATAGAATCTTTGGAAAACTGGATTAATTTTTTATGATCTCGCTGGCGTTTGTCTTGACTGGAATTAGGTCTACCAGTTTCAAGATATAACATTTTAAGCTTTACAGATTTTTTCAGCTCTACTACAGTCATATAATCAGATCTTTGTGCAAACTTGCGTGATCCTTTTCGTATAGTACTAGCTGAACTTCCCTCTTCATCCCTAATTGGAAGAAATTACCAAGAAAAAAATAGGTTATAAAGCCAACAAATTTTTGGGATAGCCCTATTTGTATAGCAAACAGCGTAATAAAAGAGGAAAATTATAGAAGTATTGCTTACCAGATATTCCATATAACAGGGTTTCCAAGTAAATTGCTCATTGCTATATTTATCAATGGCGTAAGAACTTCACAAACATATGATCCTTCATTAATCAATTTTTCTTTCTTTATATAAGCTTCATACTTAGGTGATTTCCAAACTTTATACCTATAAAAGAATATAGTAGATAGAAATCATGTAGACTGGCTGAAGCGCTAAAGCAAAATTCTAAGATATGATCTAAAAAATAACTTACAAAAACTCTAGTATTCGTTTTGTTATTTCTTAAAGCTTTTCAGAACTATCTAGCCACTTTTCAAATTCCACGTCATGCAAATCTTCATCCAAATTTATTTTCGACTTCTCATTATGAATAACTCCTTACAGCTATTCAAAATTATATTACTATGTTCTAATTTATATTTTTAAAAGGTTCCTTAAAAATATCGCAAAATGAAACAGGTATCTCTGTGAAAGATTCAGATCTATTATCAAGAACTCCAGAACATAAAGGATGGTTGAATCCAAGGCTTTTAGCATCAACTTCTTCTAATTCTATCTCAATTCTTTCCTACATAGTTTTTTCGTAACTAGAAGTATTATTTATGACCCGCCCAATATCACATTTTATAAGCTGTAAGTTTGTATTAGCATCTTCAGGCCATGACTCAACATCTATTACTAAAGCTTTCATTCCTATAAGTGAACATAAATCTTCAAAAGCAGTCGTCACTTAAAATGTAGTATCTTAGATTAAACTAATGATATATTTGATAAATTAAATAAAGTATTTTTTGCAGGATCAGATTAGGTTTCCGTTTTCATATGATATCAAAATACTAGCAAAAGTTTGGCCAGAAAGGAACCTCACTATGCATATATTACTAGTTACTGCTATGTAGAAGTGATATCACATTGAACATAGCACATTCACTAATAAATATGCCAGAAAACCTAAAGAAATATGTAACATCATATCTATATATCTACCATGATTATTATTTAATGCCTTATCCGTTTCGCTAATTTTTTCTCAGTATTAAAACTTCGTAATTTTTTTTCGCTTAACATCATCTGAGGGACTTGTTCTAAAACTCGCTCTAAAACATTTTCAAAATTCTTTATCTTTCTTTTAAGAACGTCTATTCATTCACCTTGTTTTACTCGTATATATAATGCTGTGGATATCCTGACGATATCAAGGGGTTCTCTGGTTAAAAGAAATTCTTCTATATTTTAATAAAGTAAAGGTTAAATGTTAGTGAAAGCTCTGCTAAGCGAAATAAAAAAAATAATGTAAAAACATAATAAATGACTTCCTCTAGGTTTGCAACCATATTGGGAAAGAGATAGAAGAATATGCAAGGCACTTTACGCCTATGTTTGTGATTAAGGGCATGTAGAATGTGCATTAAAGATCTCAACATTATATCATATATATTTTAACGAGGATCAAAAATGTGCTAATTTATGTCACATATGCCTTCATGTACTGTAGTTGGACAATAATATAATATATTATTTTATTAAGATGAAATACCATTCTACAGAAAAAAATTTAATAAATATCACAGGTGATATATTTTACTGCTAGAGATGTGATAATTTATTCTTTGATACGCTTACAGATTCTTCTTACATCCAATGAATTAGCCTTATATTTTTAACATTCTATAACTCTAATGAGATATTTGATGTTATCTTTATCAATACGATAATATTCAGGATTCTGTAATCACTTTAGCTGGTTAGATCAATCTGAACCTCGCTGATATAATATTTTAAAAACAATATCATATGTTACATTAGCTAATCTCAAATATAATTAATATTTCTTATCAAATATTCAGTCAATATGAGGAGTTATACCTAAATACTTCTTATTATCAGGAGTACTATCATTCCTCACCGTCTCCCAAATTATTTTTGCTAACAATTTGGGTCTCATCCTGTAATTCTGCTAAGCCTGTTGGATAAGTTTAGCACTGTTAAATAAGTGATATGCAACAGTTTTCTACCTTCATGTGAATAATTATAATCATAATAATTTAAGCCTCTACTGTACATAACCGAATATGTTAGATAAATCTCTTCAATCTCATCAGAACTAAGTGATGCCACTTTTCCTTCTTTTTTCGTATTTCTTTGTATATGATTATAATGAATTTTAGCGGTAATACATTTATTCAGGTGATCATTAGCACATTCGATGGTATTTTCACGAATAATTATCAAAGAGTCGCATACAATACAATAAATATTAAATGAGCATCTCCTAGCTTTAAATTTTCTATCTATATATTTCCTTTCAACCATTTGGATAAATCCATTTTGAAAAGTATTTTGGGTTATATTCAAGAAGTTTCTTAAATGGAAAATGAACACGAGAACACTATATTTCTGGTGTTTCACAATTATACCTATATTGCAGGTTGTTTAACGCCTGCACTACTACAGGACTTAAACTATTATAGAAGCTAGTTTTATCCATTTTATGGGTGTAAAGCAGTTTATAGCAGTTTACTATTTTTATTGATTTATAGTATTTTTAGTAAATTATAGTTATTTCAGTGAGATATAGCAATTCTTTATCAACTTATGATATTATAGGATTCATTTTTTGTGCTAGAGCAAAGAAAAAGTATATAATGATCTGTGTATATTTCATGTGAGTATCATGAGCATATTACAAGTGAATTAACATTTATTTATATAACAAATTATGCTAAACAGCTATGGCATAATCCTAAAAAATCATTCAAAGTTAGGATTATATGGCCCTTTGGCTCAAATCTATTATTGATAAATGAACATTATCTTTTTCCATGTAATGTACATATGCAAAACAATTATTCTCATGAATATAGAGCCTTGATTTCACTGGATATAGATTCTTTTAGCATAAAATATGTCTTCTTAATATAGCTAATCTTGTGATGTTTAAGTTTTGTGATTATTGCTCTTGAATGAAGTATTTTCACAATGCCATTACCATTATCACAAGACAAATACTTGACTTTACTGATTGCATTTTCCTATTATCAAATAAATTTTTATAAGCATTTAATATTGCTAGAAGTACAGAATCATTTAAAATTTAGTTTTCTCACCTTAAAAAAATATAAAACTTCGAGTAAATTTCTTAACGTATTAATGTCGCATAATTATACAGGAAATCTATACATTAGACCATTCAAACTAAAGTACAACCCATTATCAAGTAAATCAATAGCGAAGAGTTATCTTTCTAAACCTAATACAATAATAAATGATATAAGTCACAACCATCATTAATATTTGTTGTTTTAGAAGTTATCTAGTTATCTTACTGGCTGATTGTATTCCATAAAAAGTGGAATTTTCAACAGCTTCCTCAGAAAGGTTACGCAAAAGATAGGTATCCAATATGCACTTATTAGTTCTTAGACACTTACTGCGATCTTTGATTATTTTTACTGGTGTTACTTTGCGTGTAAATTCTGAATGTGATAACTCTATATCGCCTTTAGTAGTCAGTACCCTCAAATCTATCTTTCGATTTAAAGTTGATTTAGAAACTGTCTCGCCCCTACGAATATGCAAAATTAAATTAGACACTATCAGAAAATAATATTTATAAAAATCTTTACCATTTAAGATAGACTAAATCATGATCATTTGAAAAAATTATTTCCAATATGAGACTTGAAACTTTCATAATATATTTGATTTCTGTCAAATTTTTTTTTCCTCCTTCCTTATTAATAAAAGTACAAGAATTTTCTAACAGCATGTCGATTCTAGTGATGGTTAAATATTTTGAGATTAATAAATCATAAGAAGTGAAAAAATTTATATTAAACAAATGAAAATATACAGATGATAATATATTTTTAAAACTTGTTAATGTTTGTCATCAATTGGCCTTTCTTTTAATTTATCTAATAGATAAGCGCGTACTTCCCAGTAGTGGTATGTGACACATAACTAAACATTTAAGAGTATGGTTTAATGTTACAAGTACTGCGTATAATAACAATCAACACGCCTTTTACAAACCTTTTCCATTTTAATAGCATCAGATAAAGTATCACCTTCTAATTTTTTTACTTCAAAATTTATATTCTTTGAAACATTCATTTTCAGGTCTTCCCAATTTTTCCCAAACCATATACACATTCCTTTATTGAACTCTGATGACAGATCGATTATTGATGATAGATCAAGTCTGAATATACGTATATAAGTGACTAAAATATAAATATCAAAAATAATCTTAACAAATATGATATACCTTATGATGCTAGAATCTTTCCGTTTACTTTCTTTAATTAGTTTACTTTTTCAATTTCTTTACGTGTCATTTTTAATGAAAAATCCCTGACTTTTTCACCACTGCTTAAAGTTTATCTTTTCTTATCACATTTATCAACCCACCCATCAAATGTAAATTTGTTAAGATCGAAAGTCTCATCCTCTAAATTTTCGGCTTCGTCAATAGAGCTATCAGAATCATAATCAAAATCTAATAAACATTTCTTGAAGTTCTATATAAAAAAAATATATCAATTACAACTATAAAGTCAGTGATAAAGTGCAAGATATTAGACCTCAGTTGAAGTCGTCTTCGCATTATATTCTTATTCTACATCTTCATCTAATGGACTCTTTCCTTTTACGATCAACAGTAGTGAGATTTTTAGCAATGTTCTTATGAAATTTCTTGCAAATTTTTTGACTGCATCAGAATAAGGATTAATAAATTTCAAATCATAAATGATAAGTAAAAAATGGTACCTTTATCTCAACCAGTTGTATAGTTTCTTCACTTTTGATTTGTACCAGTTGAAGTGTTTTATCATTTCTTATTTTCTTCAGATTCTCTAAACACTCAAAAAAATTGCTCTTATTTTTATTCAATTTCCAAGTCTACAAAATTTCACAGTAAATCAAACTTTAGAACTATCTTTACATATGAGAGAACATTGTTTTGCACATGAGATCTGTAGCAAACTAACAGTTTAACACCCAGCCAACTAACAGTTCCAAAATATGCTACAGAAGGATAAAGCATTCTTAAACTACAGCGAACTAACAGTTCAACACCCAGCCGACTAACAGTCCTGAAATGTGCCAATAGTTTAACACTAAAAGAAGATTAATACTTCCCTCCAAATTCTTGAGCATATTATTGGCCTTCAGTTTAGCATATTCTGAGGCAGATTTATTAAATACATCATGTATTCCTTTTTTCATGCCATTGTTATACGAGTCGATTGCGAAGTCTACTGACTGAAAAGTAAACTTCAACGCGTATAGCAACGTTTTAGGTATCTGAAGGATAACA